AATTAAAATCGCCTACGATTATCTTGATATCGAAAGAGGTTTCTGCAATTTTTTCAAAGAGTTCACAAAGTTGGCTTTCATTTCCAGAGGAACAAGGAGGATTATATACACATCCGACTAAGGCTTTCCTATTTTGCGGAAGGATTACCGAAGCAAAACATAAATTTCCAGAGAAAGAGGAAATGTCCAGGTCATAAGACGACTGTGCAAGTGAGGCTCTTATTTAATGAAGGCATCCAACGCCGCGTCTTTCGACTCGATCCTGGCGGTATAAACTGAGACTATCTATATTGAGTGCTGAGTCGGAAATTAGAGAGTGAGCCCAGGATTCTGTAATGCACAATACGTCTGTGTCAAACTCAACAGCTACATTTCTTAGGTGTGCCATCTTTTGCACGACAGATCTTGCGTTGAGAGAGACAATACTGAGCGCATTCCTAATATGTAGGTTCCGCTCATTGCTACTCGTAAAAAGTGGAGAGAAGGAGGTGGAAAATTAGGCTATTGGGACGAAGCAATTGGTGGAGGACCAAGTTGCTGTGATCTAAAATTTGTGGGATAATTACCACTAAGTAGAGATGCAGCATTATGTGGAAAACATTTGAGGAGGATCCAGGAAGAGGAAAGCTATTTTGTTGGGTTGGAAAAATAAGAGGCAGGAAAATAGGATTTTGTAAATTTTGAACATGACATGGAGGGTAGTTTATGTTAGGTAGCGGACGCAATAGTTTCGGGAAACGCTTAGCATCAGGAAAGGGCTTTATTATTTGGGGTGGCAGACTAGCAATGGGATGGGAAGAGTTATCAGCAATGCTATATACTTGCATTTTGCAGACTGGTGTATAAGTGAGCTTCACAAGTGGGGTGTTTACGATAAGTTCAGAATTCTGGATAGGAACAGGTAAAGATCCCCCTGAAATACCATCTTGATTATTTGACCTAACCGTATGGTCAGACCTGAGTGGCCAGGCGCGGGAACGGGACGGATTCGATGTAGGTTTATTAACTAAATCACTATTCTGAGTGCCGGGAGTCGGTTGTGCTTCAAGGATTGGCTCATCTTGACTGTTAAGATCAAGCTACCTAGTAAATTTAGGAGCCGCATTCGAACAATCCTTGCTTCTTGGAAGAGTTTTAAAGAGGCTAGTTTCAACTGACTCTGTGATAATGTAATCAGTCGAAGAGCCAGATGGAACTGGGGCTGCTGTAGATAGTGGGGAGAGACTGCTTTAGAGGCGAAAGGCATATGAGTAGAATTCGTTCAGATGGTATTGCCGCGTACTAGGGGTCTGATTTCCGAGGCGCAGTGTGGTACATTTGTCCAAATTGAAGGATAAGAGCCATCTGCGGGACCACTCGTCCAATCGATAAAGATTTTCTTGGAAGTTGGTCTTATCGGCAGCATTCTGGATGACTTTCCAGATTTTTATGTCA